ACAGCAATGCTGTTGACTCTTAACTGCCCCAGGCAATTAGGGATAGGCTATAAATGCTGGTCCAACAAACGACACCCGCACCCCATGAATTAATAAAAAAAATTGTCATTATGTCTTACTCACATCGGTAGCCTTCTTTGTCTTAACTATTTTGTTATTCTACTGCTTTTAAGCTGAATATACTTCATTGTGTGTTAAATTACTCCTAATTTACTGGGAGGTGACAGAATAAGCAACCCCCAACTAAGTTCAAATCAGAAAAAGACTTGTTAATCTTATACTTGTACAGGCAGGTTGTTGATCATTGACAAGCCATCATAATGCATTAATGGAGTCAAGAGGTTTAGATCTGATATCTGTGCAAAACGTCTTCCTGCTTGGCTTTTGATAACCTTGCAGACCAAAGCCATTATGGATCAATTGATCTGCTGGTCAAACAGTAGGGAATAAAAAGGTTGCTAAGTTGGGCACTTTTAGCTGGTTAAAACCATGTGCATCATTTGGTTTCTTGGAGAGAATGGGGTGTGGGAGATGTGGAACGGATATATTCATCAAATGATTCTTAAAAATTATTCATTCATGGGCGTGTTGAGGGTTGGACCAGCACTTATTGCCTATCCTTAGTTGCCCTTGGGAAGGTGCTAGTGTGCTGCCTTCCTGAACCATTTCAGTCCATTTGGTGTAGGTATCCACATGACGCTGTTTCCTGGATTTTGACCTGGCAACACTGAAGGAATGTCAATATTTTCCACATCTGAATGGTGAGTGATTTGGAGGGGAAGTTGCAGATGGTGGCGCTCCTTTATATCTGCTGCCCTTGTTCTTCTAGATGATCGTGGGTGTGGCTGTCTAAAATACCTTGGTGAATTTCAGCAGTACATCTTGTAGATGGTAAACACTGCTGCTACAGAGTGTCGCTGGTGGAGGAAGTGGATGCTAGTGGATGTGCTGCTATTGCAAGTAACTACTTTTTCCTGGATGGTGTCAAGCTTTTTGATTGTTGTTGGAGCATACTCATCCAGGCAAGAGGAGAGTATTCCATCACACTCTTGACTTTTGTTTTATAGATGGTGGAAAGGAGTTAGGGAATCAGCAGGTGAGCTACTCATTGCAGGATTCATAGCTTTTCTGATCTGCCCTTGTAGCAACAGTATTTATATGTCTGATCCAGTTTAGTTTATGGTCAATGTGATCACTTCCCCCCACTAGATGTTGATAGTAGAGGTTTCGGCAATGGTGGTGTCATTGAATATCAAGGGACAATGGTTAGATTGTCTCTTATTGGAAGTGGTCATTGTCCACTACTTGCATGGTGTGAATGTTACTTGACATTTGTTAGCCAAACCTGGGCATTGTCCAGGTCTTGTTGTATCTGCATCTGGACTGCTTCAGTATCTGAGGAGTTTTGAATGATCCTGAACATTGCTCAATCATCAGTGAACATCACCACTTCTGACTTTATGATGGAAGGAAGGACATTGATGAGCAGTTTAAGACAGTTGGGCCTAGAAGACTCCCTTGAGGAATATCTGCCGAAATGTCTTGAAACTGAGATAACTGACCTCTAACTACCACAACACTCTCTTCTATGTTAATTTCAAGTTGGCAGTGGTTACAGGGTAGGAAGTGTTCGGGCTGTGTGCCCATAAGCCCCTGCTAACCTGGCCGGCCACATTCTTCTTTGTCCTTTTTTTTGTTTGTTTCTTCATTTCTCTTTTGTATTAAAGTTCACCTTTTCTTCTTTTCTGTGGCTGTAATGAAGGAAGACAGTTGCAAGGGCCTGCTGCTGTGATGGCAGCGTGGTGGACCCAGATGTCCAATTCTCGTGACCCCAGTGATGTGGTTTTATCAAAGGCTTCATTGTTGGTGAGTCTGGTCTGTTCCTCCTGGTGACAGTGTGGCGGTTTCAGCAATGGCTATAGTGGTGACAGCATGGTGGTTCCAGTTCATTCCTTGTGGCTGTTGTGGCAACGTGGTGGCTTCGGGTGGCGACTGAACTGACAATGACTTGAGTGACTGCTTCAGTGCTGGCGACTTGGAGGGTCCAGTCTATCCCTCCTTGCCATGGCAGTGATGCAGTGGCTTCAATATAGGCTTCAGCAGTGGCAGCATGGTGGGTCCAGTCGGAAATCCTTGCTTTGGTGGCCTTAGGGTCATAAGGTTGCATATAGTGTTTGAATGCAATTCTGATTTGGCTGATGGCCCACAGGTCCTCATGGACGCCTAGTCTTGAGATGCTAATCAGTTTGAAACTTATCTCATTAAGGACAGTGGCAATGTCAACACAACACAATGAAGATCATCCTCCGTGTGAAGACAGGACTTCCCCCTCACAAGAATTGCAGAGTGATCACTCCTACTGATACTGTCATAGAAAGATACATCTGCTGCAGGCAGATTAGTAAAGATAAGGTCAAGCATGTTACCCTCTCCTGTTGCTTCCTTCACAACCTGCCACAGACCCAGTTTAGCAGCTGAGTCTGACTGGGCCAGATCAATAGTAGTACTGCTGAGCCAGTGTTGAAGATGGATGTGTAAGTCCCCACTCAAAGTACATTCTGAGCCATTGCCATCCTCAGTGCTTCCACCAAGTGAAGTTCAAAATGGGAGGGGGCAGCGTAGCTAGTAATCATATTTGACCTGATATTGTGAGATTTCATGGATCCAGAGATAATGTTAAGGACTTCCAGCAACCTCCCAACCTGCACACCACTGTATTACCAACTTAGTTGTGCCTGTTTTGCTATTGACACAGGACATATCCAAGAAGCGTGATTGTGTTGTGTGGAACATTGTCTATAAGGAATGATTCATTGAGCATGACAATGTCAGACTGTTGCTTGATTCAATTGTGAGGCAACTCTCCCAATTTTGGCACTAGCCCCCAGATGATAGTAAAGGGAACTTTGCAGGGTCACCAGGGCTGAGTTTGCTGGTGTTGTTTCCAGTGCCTAAATGGATGCTAGTTGGTCCATCCAATTTTCTTTTCTTTTTACTTTTTAGCAGTTAAATACAACTGAGTGGCTTGCTAGGGTAACGCAGAGGACAGTTAAGAATCAAATCCATTACTGTGGGTCTGGAGTCATATGTGAGCCATGAGATTTTTGTTCCTAAAGTGTGTTAATGATCTAGGTAGGTTTTTTCGAGGAGGTTGACGATAATGAGACTTTTAATTTCGGGGTTAATTTTTGTGAGTTCAAGTTCCACCATCTGCTGTGACTGGATTTGAACCCATACAACATTCTGTCTAAGCTGCTCTGACGTTCCGATCACGGCAATTAGTATTGGCACACTGATTGCAGCATTGACTGCTATTCCACCTCGGAGGCCCATCCAGCTGGTAGAAAATTAGAGGGAATACTGAAGCCATGCCCTCAGGGTATTCACTTAGAGTTCTGGATTACTAATCCAGAAGCAATATCACTACATCACCTTCTCTTCTTGAAGAAGTATCCATGTCGGGGACCATGTGGCACTATGTGCCCCCAGGGAATCAAAACAGCAGTGCAAAAAGAGCAATTATTTCCTTCCTTATGTCTTAGTTCTCAAAAAGCTAATATTAGCCTCTCTAAGCATTGGCATCTGCCCCTTTGTGTAGAGACTGTCTTCATTAACAGGCAAACTGAAACTCTAACAAAATTTCTCAGTAGTCTGAAATTTTTGTGTGTGTTAGACAACCAAGCAATCGAAACAAAATTTTGGTGTGCTTCACCTAGCTACACCCTACTGGCACCCCCAGTTATCATACAACCAATGGGATCCCTACCTCAAGATTGTGTTATAGGTGAGATTGTGTTATTTCATAGCTGGGTATCTAGTGCCCAGGTCTACCAGTGCCAGGTCCAATATTGTATGGAAATCTTTCCAGTTTTTGGCCCTCATACTCCAAAATAAATGGGTACTGTAGATGCTATATAAAATCAATCACACAATTAAATATTTTAATATTTTTAAAATATTTTTTTCAAATGTGTGCTCTATTGGCGAGGTTTCTGATGTTGACCTGCATTATACTAAATTCCACACTATACCAGATCGCTTCCTAGTAGGGCATTAGTATGGTTAATTCTCACATCCTTTGATCAAAACTTTCTTTTTGTCTAAATTATAATTATTTTTGTAAGAGTAATCATATTATTAATGTCTGTCAATAATAAAGGAACTAGTAAAATATTAAACAAATTAGACCAACTGACCTTCATGAAATGTGCTTTGTTGAAGCTTTCTCTTAATGCCAGCCTAGGAGCTTCAGTTGTTTTTTTAATATTTATTCAAGGTCTGTACTGCATACTACTACAGCTGACTGATTACGAATTGTTGTTATTTATGCTTTGGGTCTTTTGATCTGGCCTTGATGGCACATTCTGTAGATATATAGCTGATGCCACTTCTATTGACCTGCCTCTATTAATAACTCGAGCAGTAATGATTTTCTGTCAGACAGCCATTTGTTAGTGTCATAGCCATTGACAAGTCTGCACAGTATGTGTGGAACAAGCATTCTGTGCAAAGTTTTCATTCAAGCGTAAACGGCAGGATATCGAAGCTTTCAGTGTAAATTCTTGTACAGAAGAGGGCAGTGTTTCTCCAAACAGTAGCTAAATGTAAAAAGGATGAAATTTAGATACTTTGCCTGTACTTTAAAAATTGTTCCTTCACCCTAACCCACCACCCCTCCTCCACCCACAACTTTCTTTTACTGAGAAATTGCAAGTGAGATGATCACTACACTGCCAACAGTAGGCAATGGCATCGTTTTTCAGAGTATAGACATTGTTGGTCAGTGGACAACTGGCTACAGACATTAATCAAAATCTTCTTCACAAAAACAAAACACTCAGGGCAAGTATGTACTCTCACTTCCTTCACTGTCTAAGACCAAGCATGCTGCTACAAACTAATGCCTAATGTGAGTTATGATGCTCTGTACAAAATTATAATTTTTGTGTAATGTCCCATATATCTGCCAGTACTCCCTACTCTTATGAATGACATTCAAAATTTGAAAACACAAAATTTTATTTTTTGAACTGTTTAGTACATATTCCTGGAAAAATGTATACATTCATGATATTACTAATTTGATTCACCTGACTAGACATGAAATGACTCACCAGAAGCCTAGGTATATTTCTTTCCGAGTTATTGTAACATGCAGGATGGTGTGGCATTCTTTATACGATATTTCTTAGACTGTGTTGTGTTTTCCATTATTCAGACATCTTTCAGTGTTTTCCAATGTTTAAAGAAAATAGCTTCAGCATATTGCACTGTTCCTACTAACAATGTTGTGGAATTACTATCAGATGGGACCATAGAATCAAGATTATGAATTAACCACAGACCACTACATGAATTAAAAAAATTTTTACACAGTTAACCATTTACTGTGGAGTGGAAAAATTGCTGATATCCAATAAGTTTTTTAAAACATCAGCTGCTGCCCTAATCCTATTTGTGCTGGTGAAAATTCTTCTTACATATATCCATACCTCCTTGCCATTTGATCCAGAACTATCTTTAAGATACAGATTTCATCTGATCTTTATATTGACATGAACATTAATTTAGTGCAGGTTCCACATTTCATAACGAGCAATGTAAATTAAAGGTACAGAAGGGCTAAGCTGAACTGATCATACTCAATGATGTGTCCAAAAAAAACCCTGTAAAGGAATGTGAGCAAAGGTCTGAATGAAATGCTAATGTAATGCAGGAGCATTTCCTGTTTATGAAACAATACTTGCAAACCTGACAGAAAATGAGGAATTTGTAGTATCGAAGATCAAAACACTTCACAATAAAAGACAATGAACAATGGGCTGATTATCACACAAATGATAAATATACATTGATAATTGGAAAACTATTGTATTTAAACAAATTTTCTGTCAGAAAAGATGTCTTATTTTGCTTGGCAGCTTGGCACATTAATCAAGTTGAAAGCTATACTGCTTCTCTGCTCCAGAAAGCTAACAGCTCCTCTGTGAAAAACCATTTAACAGTTAGAAAGTTATAGCATCACGCTTCAAAACCCAAAGTCTACTTTCTGTATTTTCAAATTATGGAATGACATTACTAAAATGGGCATCTTTTGTTCTGTGCATCTATGACCATGCAAACCAATTGTAGGTTTAGCTCCAACAAATTCACTGGTATAATGAACATTTCTCTGATCTCGAACGAGCAACTCTTCTTTGTACCTGCATGCAAAACAGTGGATTATGGCAATCCAAAAGAAAATGCAGTTATGTTAGAAATGACTATAAATTGTTGCAATACGCAAAACATTAATTCTTTCACAAAATGATACTTGGAAACGTGTGAGCTGTTTTTTTTTTAATTTTTGTTGTCTTGTTGCAATGGTTTCTTCAAATAAAGACGTACTGTAGTGAAGTTCGTTCATTTACGTAGACCTGTGGAGAAAATAAGAAATTGGTCTATAAATGTTCTCGACCACCTTTTCAAGCCTTTTCTACTTAATTTAAAACAATTTGTTTCCTCAATTGCTCAGTGAATATAGACATTGGCTTTGTGAGCCATACCAGGCAAGATTTGATTCCTGATCTGATACAGGCAGTTAAAATTGAACTTGCTGATTCTGGTTTAGAGACAGAAAGATTTTCCTTGTCTAAAATCACTAACTATTGACCTCTATAGTAAGTGGATGGGTGTCTGTTAAAGGCTGAATCAGGTTCGGCCTTGAAGACCCCACAAACAAATAGACTGTCAATCATCACTGTCAGGGCTAACATGAATAATGGCCAAGGGTGAGGTACTGAAGGACAACTTGTACAAGCAGAATCATCCAGTAAGCTATCAAAAGCTCTAGTGAAAGAAGAGGTATAAAAATGAGCTAACAACAATATTTGCTGGTGGCAGTATGAGTTTATTGCTACGTTGTCCAAATGCAAAGAATAAAATAGAATTTAAAACAAACGTGAAAGGAATTGATATTAAATTATTTGTAATCACTAGGTATGGACAAACTATTATGCAGCTTTCTTGTCATGTGAGTGATGGGTATTAAACTGGTGCAATTATACAACAGAAAGTTTCCATTTTCCCAAAGATAAAACTTCCAATGGAGGATATTCCCTCTAGCAGTCTAGTTAATAATGAACAAAATACACTGTCCAAAAAGAATGACTTGCAGAGGAATTACAAGGAATAACTTTATGTTAGTAAAAGCTGGCCTGAGAACTGGGACTCAGACTTAGTTGTTTAGAAGTTCGGTGCTTCACTGCTTGTTCTATTAAGTCTTCAGAATTAAAACAATAACAGGTTTCTTCTCCACCCCAGCTTCTCATTGCTGATAGGGGCTTCCGCGTTGGAATTTGCAGGACATTTGTGATAGCCTAGTGGTGTTATTGCTGGACTATTAATCCAGAGACCCAGGTGATATTCTTTGGATCTGGGTTTAAATCCTGCCATGGCAGATGGTGGAATTTAAATTCAATAAAAGAAAATCTGGAATGAAGGGTCTAATGGTTACCATAAAGCCATCACAGATTAACAGGGGGAAAAATACTATCCAGTTACCTAAAGGCCTTCAGGGAAGGAAATCTGCTATCCTTGGGTTTGGGCCATATGTAACTCCAGATCTGCAGTAATATAGTTGACCCTTAATAACTAGGGATGAGCAATAAATGCAGGCCTAGCCAATGACACCCACATCCCGTGAATGAATAAAAACAAGTATCTAATGATTTAATTTTTAATGCAATATGAACTGTCGAATATGGTCTTTTCATTCAGCCTGACTAGCAACTATTGTATTGGTACTTAGCCTTGCAACAGAAGAATGCAGACAGGGTGGAGACAAATGAAAAATAAACACATGTAAAGTTCTTTTGAGAATATACTCCAATCCATTTGGAGCACAGGAAAGCTCAGAATTGGGATATATTCACAGTCCGTCTAACTGATACTAAATTGTAACCCTACAGTAGCATATGCATTGATTCTTCATTGAGTTTCTAAATAAATTCAGGATCAGAAGTGTATGTACAAACCCAGAACTGTGGAAGAAATATTTATTTCTTAGGAAATCTTGCAAATAATTGGCTTTGCTCCTCTATTGTACATTAGTCCTCAAATTCTTTAATTTTTAGGATGCGTACTTTGATCAACATCTTTGATTCAATGTTAATGAAATATCTAAGCATTAACTTTGGATATAGCCCATCACAAATATTTCCAGCATGAAATACATCAGGAACAACAGGCCACAACTAAACCACTCCATGAAATGGAAGTGTCTAGGATAGACAACTAATGCTTTATTCTCTCTCTTATGCTTATTAAAGGGATCTTTTAACACTTGCTGTTTTATTTTAGAACATTGCTTATTGGAATGTTGATAAGAAGTCTTTACATTGGGATTTCTTTAAGTGCCACCTCTGTAATGTAGCTTTAAGGAGGAAAATAAATAGGAGTGCACAGAGGTCATCACTGGGACATGAACAGTATTTGGCCTCCAATGAGGCCAGCATTAGCAATAAATGGAAACCAAAATTAGAACTGTAAACATAGGGTATAACTTAAGGTTACGATGTTGTAGGAAAGTCAATCAGCACTCTTCCCATAGGTTGAGAATTGTAAACATTAGTGTTCCAAAAAAAGTCATTGAGAAGAAGTCATTAGTTGCGTTAACATAGGTACACAGATTCAGATTGAATGTTGTAAAAGCTGCCTGAGAAAGGGTATAAAAATAGGATGCTTGCCAGGGGTCTTTGCACTTACCAAGGGCTAGCATTTGTCAGAGGTACTTGCCGGAAGCACTTGGTGGGAGAGAATGAGATGGTAATAGAGCACTTGCTAGGAAATTAGCACTAGTGTGGGACATTTCCAAACAACGGATAATTATCATAGGTTGAGGGTTGTGGTGAAAACCCAGATCAGTATTAAAGCTAAAACCCTGAAGAGAAAGTAAGCAGTCCTTGTTAGGAAGCTGCTTTCATTCAGCAGCTGCTGTGAACTGTGTAGCTACTTTACCAAGCACTCAGCAAGCAGTTGTGAAATGTGCAGCTACTGCAGTTAAGGTAGACTAGGAAATTAGCATTTAAGTTGTAAAGCCACGAAGGAGTTTGTGTGCATGTTAAAGTTAAGTTGCTTTAGCTAAAATCTCAAAAGGCACCATGAATTAAGAGACCAAATTCAGGGAACTAAGAAAAGACCTCACTGAAAGACATTCTGACACGTGTTTAACCTCTGTTCCAAGCCATTCCTCAACTACTGTAATGATGAGCGTTAATGTTTTTTATCTAATAAATCTTGTTACTTTGCATTCCAAATGAGTAATTGTTCTTTGTGCCAAAATAGTTATCCCTTTACAGGAATCTTCTTCCTTTGGGTTTAGCATATGGTCCAAAGCAATACAGTTTGGAGTCTCAAACAGGAGTTGAATGTTAAATGGAATGTAGGGCTGGCGCTGGGGAATCCATGACTTCAAGACAGCCACATACCGGTGCAGCAAATGGGAACTTCAGGCATGCACATTTTTCACTTTGCACTACAAGCCAGTGAAGCACCCTAGTGATGGTGGATATACTGTAAATTTGTCCCCACTGAATTCTGTATAGCTTCTGTCTTGTGACCAATCAGTACCAAATCATGTCTTTATTCAGACAAGGTTGCTAAAATGGAAAATAGACAGGTTAAAGGTATTGCGTGTTGCTAGTACAAAAAGCCATTAGGGTGACAGGAGGTAATTACTTACAGATAAACTGGCTTTAATAGTACATGAGAGGGTTTCTGAGGCACATGGTAGACGGAGAATGAATCAAATCCACCTATAAAATCAACTGCAATCACAACATAATTGTAAATAAATATGTATGAAGAGCTCCTTTCCATGGTTAAAGCAAAGCAACCAAACATCAATTATAAATAAAAATATAACAAACTGATCAAGATAAATTTAAAACAAAAATAAATAAAAGCTGAAATACAAGATCAATCACATGTTTAGCAACCAATTTGAAAAAGTATTGCTTCAAGTAGGAAGCAGCAGGAGAGAAGGATCTGGACCAACTAATTCTAATCCAATGTCATATGAAGCCTGCAGTTAATCATATTTGCAAATTCAAACTAAATGCTGTTAACACCATGAAGAGTTGAAGAAGCCCTGTGTGATAAGACGGCCTATCATCTGACTTGAACTTCCATTTCAAAAAATAAAATGAAACCTGTTGCTGTATTCAGTACTAGACACTACCAAGGGCTGTGTTTGCAGCCTAGACATTTATTCTAACTCAATTCCCCAGAATAGCTTGTTGAAAGTGTAAGATGGATGAATTCATACCCACAACTGAAGTGAAGTTATTCTCTTACTTTCAAGGCTTCTAGACACAAGGAGTTATAGTTTAGTAACCTTTAGTCAGATACACTTTTCATTTGTTGCTTAGAGTCAACCATTATCCGAAACTGTTGTAAGACCTTTTCAGGAGTGCAATCAGATCTCATGCAATTGGCAAAGGTGAGGTAGAGGGCAGCCTTCATTCTTGTTTTTATTTACAATTTAAGGTTATTTCCCATGGAAGTAATGTTCACGGGTATGTGGCCTCGCAAAGATAAAACAAGGATCACTCTGGCACACTCCATAGAAGGTACATATCAATACAGATTTTCAAAGCGGTTAGATTCATTGGTGTTCAAAGGACAGAGTGACATCAACATTGAGAGATTAGCAGGAAAGATTGAATGCTCGGGGGTATTTTTCTCTATGATGTGCAGTCCAAGAATGACAATGCTGAGGTCTTCAAGATTTTTTGAAATGATTTGCTCGAGATGATTCAGTGAAGATGTTTTCATTTGCAGGTGAGGCCAAAACTGGAGTCCATAAATAAATTATTATTTTTGGAGTGCATGGTCGATTTATTAAAATCCATGAACCCTGGCTGAATGGGGCTGATTTGTGTGTAACCTACAGTGAAACCATTGGGTTGCTACATGGCTTACAGGGAACATTGATCATAAATATAGATAGTCACCAAGAATACAAATAATAAAGTCCTTTTCCCAGAAAGTAGGAATATATAGCATTCACTATTATAAGTATTCACAGAGATGAATTACACACATGCATTCAAGGGGAATCTGGATAAGCACATGAGGGAAAAATTAATAGAAGGGTATGTTGATAGGATTCAATGAGAGGAGTGAAATGATATTCACGTGCAACATACACAACACCTATTGGGCTCATTGGCCTGTTTTTGTGCTTTTAGTACTCTGTAACATGGTTGCTAATTTTCTGACAAAGAACAAGGCCTGTCTACATTAAAGCTCTGCATGAAAAAATGCATTTTCTCAAAGTTGAACCAATATAAAATTTTTCTATCTTTATTGTAATACATGCTATTGCAGAAAGATCATGTTAACACTCTACAAGACAGCTAAATGAACTATTGACATATACCTCCTTGTACATCCATGTAATTTATACATTCCAATTAAAAAGATATCTTTTCCTCATTATGTAAAAGTATGGAAAATTGTCATCAGCTTTCTAGAAAAGATTTTCAGTAAAGTGGAAATGTCATGGTGCCAACAGTTCCAAGTCAAGCTAAATGCTTCTGTTATGTTGAGTGAAGAAGGCAAATTAGCTATAACGCAATTAGAGAAGCATGGATGAGACATGGTGGTCAGTGAATCCAAGACATTTCTGCTAATTCAAACTGGTCTTAACAAAGTGCATAACAAGCTGAAATGTCACATGGTGGAGAGAAGAAAAAATAATTAGAATGTGATTAAGTGAGAATGAAACTGATGTAACAGTCAATGCTCCACACAAGCTATTATCATTGATTATTTTAACAAGATCTGTACATCATGCCTTAATTGTCCAACTACACCAGCATCAATCAATCCCATTACTTAGAGTCATAGAATCCCTACAGTGTGGGACCAAGCCATTCAGACATGAGTCCACACCGACCCTCCGAAGAGAATCCCATCCAGAATCCCCCCCTCCCCATTTCCTGTAACCCTACATTTCCAATGGCTCATTCACCTAACGTACACATCCCTGGACACTATGGGCAATTAGCATAACTGTGCAAACTACACATAGACAGTAGCCCATGGATGGAATAAAACCTAGGACCCTGGCACTGTTAGGCAGCAGTGCTAACCGCTGAGCCACCGTGCCACCCCAGTCATAGAGACATACAGCATGCACCCAGACCCTTCGGCTCAATTTATCCATGCTGACCAGGTTTCCCAAACTAAACTAGTGCAATTTACATGTGTTTGGCCCATATCCCTATAAACACTTACTATTCATGTACCTATCCAAATATCTTTTAAAATATTGTAACTGTACCTGGATCTACCACTTCCTCTGGCAACTCATTCCATATATGCACCACTTTCTGCATGAAAAAGTTACCCCTCAGATCCCTTTTAAAATCTTTCTCCTCTCAGCTTAAACCTAATTTTGAACTCACTGACCCTAGGGAAAAGGCCTTTACTATTTTCCTTTTCTATGCCCCTCATGATTTTACGAACTTCTATAAGGTCACCCCTCAACCTCCTACACTCCAAGGAAAGACGTCCTAAACTATCCAGCCTCTCCCTATAACTAAAACCCTTCAGTCCCAGTAATATCCATGCAAATCTTTTATGAACTCTTTCCAATTTAAAAACATCCTTCCTATAGCAGGGCGACCAGAACTGTATGTAGTACTCAAAAAGTGCCTCACCAATGTCCTGTATAGCCGTAACATGACATCCCAATTCCTATACTCAATGCTCTGAGCGATGGGATTAGACAGTATGGTAAAGGGATGAAAATTACAAATCAATTAGACCAGATGAGGCAAGTTGGGGTGGAAGGGGGGATGGTGGGTGTGTGGATGGTTGTAAAATTCTGCTGCATACCATACATCCCATTCCCAACACCTACCAACCCGAACCCACATTTTTGCCAGCAGTGGGACATGCATTCAGAGACCTGCCTATGGACCTATCAGGACTAATTCATAACCGCTTAAGGACCTCCTCCCACCTCCTTTGGGATTTAACCATCAACAGATAAACACACACCACATCTGTTGCCTGGCAGCTTTCACTCTTTGGATTAGAGATTGGATGGGACTTCAAGGACACCTCCTTGATGGGGCCCATGTATCCATCGGAGTGGCCTTAAGACCTTCCAATTCCTGTTTTTCCCTCCTTCCTGCCTTGTCCACACTAGACTCCACCCACCTTGACCTCATCACGAGGGCCTGCCAGCACAGCCTCAGCAATGAGCTCCCATCTCTGGACTAACCTTCACAATTGGCTCAAAGATTATCGCTGTTGAGAACTAGATGCAGTCCCAGCTGTGGCCAATGTTCCTTGTGACACTGCTGGAACCAGATAGCTACTGGCCATTTGATTAGCGAGCAACTTCCAGAACAGAGGCTTCCTCTACAGACAGAGGTGGATGTCTCACTCTGAGCCAATTAATGGCCTTGTCCTGATGTAAAATACAGCCCATACTTTTATGTTAATGGACAGGTATAAAGTCAGATATTTATGTCCGAACATATAGCAGATATACGATTCAAATGCAAAATTAAAAAGAGTGCACATAAGCATAGATATCCAGACAAGCATACACATAAGGATTTGTACAAAACTGCTTTGCTCAAAAGATTGTCTGGGTATTTTGTTTTAAGATTCATGATTCTCTATGATATATTTTACATCAGGGAGCAAAACGCACGGAGAATCATTAAGTTTCTCAAAAGCTTTAACAGGGAAAAATACATAAAAATAATTCAACAGCAGCCATACAAAGTGCATCTCAATCTAGTTTTTAATTACCATCAGGACCACATTTGACCAGCTAAGATTCTGAGGCTGGCCTGTCCTGAATGGGACCTTTGAAGGAAAATGGAGCGAAATCCACTCTGCTCAGGAGTAACATCACAGGCCAAGAAATGGCCTTTATTCATAATTGGCACTTGCTGTTGTATTTCAGAAGGTAAAGGTTCCAAAACCACTTTGCCAGTGACTGAGGAAAGGTAAGATAAGTGAGGGGTAGGGTGGCAGATAGGTAGGGAAGAAGTGAACCAGATGGGTATGGTGCTGTTTTGGTGAGACAAAGAGTGTGGCAGGTAAGTGGATGAGTGCTTAGATAGGTCAGGGAGATCAGGCTGGGGGTGGTAGATGGATCTGAATAGAGGACACATTTATTGTCAAGAGTACTTTTACATGAAAAATACAGTGAAAAGTTTTATAAGTCGCCCCATCATGGTGCCTACATTAATGACAGAAGTCATTTATAATTAAAAAAAGTAAGTCTTAAGACAAAGTTCATCACAGTTCAGTTAACGGCTCCTGGGTCAGGAAAAGCCAATGAAGGAATGACAGAATACCCTGAAGACTCAGCCAACATGAGACTGCCATGTCGGGCTGTTGGAATACTGAGCTGGCGGCTTCTGCCAAAGACTGCCATGCCGGGCTGAGACCACCATTCTGGACAAGACCACCTGCCAGGCCACTGGAATACCAGGACACCGAAGAAGAAGACCTCCACATGGGGACGAGATGTGCACACTAAGACAAGTCCATCTTTCCCTTCCTTCAGGCACCTGGGCCTAGCCTAGAGGTCTGAGTGTTTGGAGGCGGCAGTGGTCAGGTCCAGCAGAATTTGGTTCAGTATGTGTTTCAGAGGAAGGTTGTGTGGGGTTGGGAGGTGTCAGCCACAAAGGTCAGATCAGGTCCGGTGGTGGAGCAGGTGAGAGTTAAGGGTGTCAGTGGTCAGAGAGTGTAGTTTTGGTGTCAGTGATGAGTTAGAGCATGTTTTAACCCT